TGGGAGCAACTGGTGACCTTGGCAACTTCAGTAAAGGCTTTCCCTTCCAAGAATCATGGATTTCCAACATTTAGAAATGTTGGAAAAGCCCTCTATGATCACTGGGTCCAATCTCTCCCCCAGCACTGCCAAGCCCAACACTAACCCATGTGCCAAGTGCCGCATGTACACCGTAATGGTCATTCCACCACTGCCCTTGGCAGCCTGTTCCAGTGCTTGACCACCCTTACTGCAAAGAAATTGTTCGTAATATACAGTCTAAATCTTCCCTGGTACATCTTGAGGCCATTTCCTCTGGTTCTGTCAATTGTTACCTGGGAGGAGAGACTGAAATAAAACAGATTCCACTGACCTTGCTTTCCAGAAATGGAGAGTTTACTGAGGGACTTTCAGGTCATCCCTGCCTGCTGTGAACCTTCCTCTCCCTGTCCTCTCCTGTCCTGACACTGACCCTGAGCAGTCACCACGAGCACCCTTCACCTCTGCAGAGCAAAGCTGTTCCCCAATCCCAGGGGCTCCTGCCCAGCCCTTGTGTCACAGGACGTGTTGCAGAAGGATAAGGGTGACATTGCAACAGCCCCAGGAGGCCCCTCAGCCTCTGCCACTGCAGCAGGGAGGGATGAGGGGCAGCCCCAGCACCCCCACACTGATGGGGCACTGCCTGGTTGGCCAAGGGCAGTTGTGTCAGCAGCAATAAGGGCATGTCCCACCCACCAGGAGGGGTATAAAACCAGGCTGTTTTGGGCAAAGCAGCATTCCCTGACCCCAAGGGCATCTGGAGCCAAGTGATTCCTGTTGGATTTGCTGCTGCCTGAACACCAAGACCTTCATCAGGTAGGTGACTGTGGGGTCTCTTTCTGGAAACCTCCCCATTCAGATTCTCAGCTCAGAGCCCATCTGCACAGACTCACCTAAAGGACAAACAGCTGGAAGTATCCAGATGTGCTCTTAGGCCATCAGAGATGTCTGGGAAAGAGCATAAAAGCCTTCATAAGAGTCGAAGAGCTGAGAACACGAGGGAGGTCAAACTAAGCTTTCCTAAGTAGAGGAAAGACTGGGAAGCTGTCTTAATGCTGCAGGAGGGACCTGAGATTTTTTTTCTTGGGCGAACAGAGACTTTCTTTAGCAATGTAGGGAGATTCTTTTCCCACAGCAGTCGGGAGATTCCCTGTCAATTCAGGCTTTCAGGAACTCCAAAGGTTGATTTCTGTTTCCCTTTCTGGTCACCAAGACACTTCCCTGTCCTCTGGTTCATCCCTGGATCGGGGCTGCATGGGGCAGGGGGGGCAAGTGTGAGGCTGGGGAGTGTCCTTGATGGGATGCCTGGGAATGGTCTGAAGATGGGGATGGGCACTGCCAAGCCAAGCTGGGAGGACTTTCCTGAGCCCAGGGAAGCAGAGATGACCACTTGGGGTGTTTGGGCCATGGGTTTGATCCATGAAACCCAGGCAGTAAAAGACATTTAGACCCGTAATTTTCAGTGACAATTTTATCTCTGCATTTCCCATATTTCACTGGCTGTTCTTTGCTTTGAACTGGGAACAACTGGCCTCAAGTCTGCAATCTGTGCTGTTGGGAAGGTGTTTGGAAGACCATTGAGAAAACTAATGGAAGAGGATCAGCTCAGATAATGGATTTCCCAGAGACTGAGACATCATGAAAAGATCCCAATGTTTGCAAGGTGGCACTAACATAAAAATTGTTCTTAAGAGAAAGGTAGAGGAAAGATCATGTGCTGTTTTTGGAGGCAGCCCCTCTGCAGTTTGGGGAACCCCAGTGCCCAGGCTTCTGCACCCCCTGGGGTCCTCCATGTCCTCATTGCCTTGGTGTGCCCTCTGCAGCCCTGTGAAGACGTGGGAGTGGTGGATCAGCCATGAAGATCCTGTACCTGCTCTTCCCCTTGCTCCTCCTGCTGGTCCAGGGTGCTGCAGGTGAGAGGGAAAGAGGGGATTGAGGGGGAGGTCTGAGCCCCCAGAACTGGAGTTTTCCATGGCCTTGGATTGACCACAGTACTTAGAAGGATGCAAATGTTGGGGGGGATTGAGGAAAATGGAGTTTTTCAAGTGAACTTCCAACAGATACAGATGTGGGGCGGGTAGAGCCCCTGGAAATAGAAGCCTGGCTTGTCCTCATGGTCAGGAAGGGGGTTGGTTTCAGGCTCCAACTCTGCACCCAGATGTTCCTCTTTAAGTGCCTGAAAGATGTCCCTTCTCATCTTGTGATGCATCCATCTCATTACCCCAAGGCATGATCCCTGCAAGGGCTGGGCAAGGACTTTCCCTCAGAGGTCACACCAATCATGGCACAGCCAGGACAGGCATGTGGCATGGGAGGAGTCCTCTGCTTTCCAGCTGTGCTGGGGCAGGCAGTGTTGGGAATGCAGCTGGGGAGCCAGCAAGGCTCTTCCTCGACCTCATGCTGGTCCTTCCCACTCTCTGCTCTTGTGTGCACCCAATATAGGGGGAAAGAGTCCTTCTAGGTGAGATGTGTTGTTCTTGAGGATGTGCCTATGGAGATGTTGGAGATGGGTCCATCTATTGGCCTGAAATGCATGGGGAGTGTCAGCCTTTCTGCAAACATGTAGGTCTCTCCCAGACTGTTGCTTTAATTGCTCTCTGTGTGCCTTTCCCCATGGAAACAGGAAGTGTACATCTATGCAGACATCAAAGGGGAATCTGTGTTTTTGGGAGATGCCCCCTGGGTACAAGACCCGTTGGGAGATGTACAGCACAAACCCTGTGCTGCAGACGGTAAGGACTGCATTCCTGGCCCTCTCATTTCCTTAGAAGGGTCCATTAGAAATTTCTTTCATGGCAATGCTTGTCAAAGAATATCCTCATTTGTGACCTATGGGAGAGACCCAAGAAAGAAGGGAAAAGTTTTGGTAGGTTTGGACTTGTCAGAAGGGGAGCTGCAGGAGCCAGTGCCTCCACACTCTCCTCCAGTGCCAGGAGGCTCATTCAGGTTTGCAGAGGACTCACCCAGTCACCAAAGAGAGAAGCATTTACTGTCCTTGGGCAGCACTGAGGACATGATCTAGGTTTTGCTGCATCTGCACAGACCTAGAGTCAGGGCTGTCACCACTGAGATAACCCAGGTCCAAACTGTCTGCACAAAGGACTGGGCCCCATATGTGCTGAGCCTGAGTCTCCTGCACCACAGACTGGATGGTCCTTGCGGGGGAGGTGGGAGAGAGTGGGAGGAAAAGTTACAAGAG